TTAAAACCTCTTCTGTGACAGAAAGACAAAACAGGAGAATTAAATGCGGACTGTTAAATATCAGGTCTCTATCGTCTAAAGCAGTGTTAGTAAACGAATTAATATCAGATAATCATATTGATTTACTCAGTCTCACTGAAACCTGGCTGTGTCAAGATGAATATGTTAGTCTAAATGAGTCCACTCCTCCCAGTCATAATAATACCCACATTCCTCGAGGCAGCGGCCGAGGAGGGGGAGTTGCAGCCATTTTTAACTCTAGTCTGTTAATCAGCCCTAAACCTAAACTAGATTATAATTCATTTGAAAGCCTCGTTCTTAGTCTTTTACATCCGACCTGGAAAACCTCGCAGCCACTTTTATTTGTTATAGTGTACCGTGCTCCTGGCCCGTATTCTGAATTTGTATCTGAATTCTCAGAGTTTTTATCCAGTTTAGTTCTTAAATCAGATAAAGTTATTATTGTAGGCGATTTTAACATTCATGTCGACGTTGATAATGACTCCCTGGCTACCGCGTTTATCTCATTAATAGACTCCATTGGCTTCAGTCAGGGTGTACATGAACCCACTCACTGTTTTAACCATACCCTCGATCTAGTTCTGACGTATGGAATTGAAATTGATAACCTAAAAGTCTTTCCACAGAATCCCTTGCTATCAGATCATTATCTGATTACTTTTGATTTCTTTTTACTCGATTACACGCCACTCAGCAACAGTTACTATACTAGATGTTTATCAGATAGTGCTGTCACAAAATTTAAGGAAAAGATTACTTCGTCGTTAAATTCAATACCAATACCTTCAGTAACAGAGGTTTCCCGTGCCGACTTTAACCTCTCCCAAATTGATCATTTTGTTGATAGCGCCGTAGGCTCGCTGCGAACAACGCTCGACTCTGTAGCTCCTCTTAAAAAGAAGTTAACAAAGCAAAGAAAGTTTGCTCCTTGGTATAACTCTCAAACCCGTAGGTTAAAACAAATATCGCGAAAATTTGAAAGGAATTGGCGATTAACCAAACTGGAAGAATCTCGTTTAATCTGGACAGACAGTCTCAAAACTTATAAGAGGGGCCTCCGCAATGCCAGAGCAAACTATTACTCAGCATTAATAGAAGAAAACAAGAACAACCCCAGGTTTCTTTTCAGCACTGTAGCCAGGCTGACTGAGAGTCAAAGCTCTATTGAGCCTTGTATTCCTTTAGCCCTTAGCAGTAATGATTTTATGAGCTTTTTTAATGACAAAATTCTAACTATTAGAGGCAAAATTCATGACCTCCTGCCCTCAGATGGTAGGCCTACCTATCTAACCTCAAACACAGCTGTAGAATCTAATATATATTTAGATTGCTTCTCCCCAATTTCTCTTCAAGAATTGACCGCAGTGATTTCTTCATCTAAATCATCAACGTGTCTCTTAGACCCCATCCCAACTAGGCTACTTAAGGAGGTCTTTCCTTTAGTTAACACTCATATATTAGATATGATCAATATATCCCTATTAACAGGCTATGTACCACAGTCTTTTAAGGTAGCTGTAATTAAACCTCTCCTAAAAAAGCCCACCCTGGATCCAGAGGTGTTAGCCAACTATAGACCAATATCTAATCTTCCCTTTATGTCAAAGATCCTTGAGAAAGTAGTCGCAGACCAGCTGTGTGATTTTCTCCAGGATAATAATTTATTTGAGGAATTTCAGTCAGGATTTAGAGTGCATCATAGCACTGAGACAGCTCTAGTTAAAATTACAAATGACCTTCTGATTGCTTCAGACAAAGGACTCGTCTCTGTTCTTGTTTTATTAGATCTTAGTGCGGCGTTTGACACAATTGACCATCAAATTCTACTGCAGAGACTGGATCACTTAATTGGCCTAAAAGGTTCAGCACTAAGCTGGTTTAAATCTTATTTATCTGATCGTTTTCAATTTGTTGACGTTCGTAATGAATCATCCTTACGTACCAAAGTTTGTTTTGGAGTTCCGCAAGGTTCTGTGCTCGGACCAATCCTATTTACTCTATATATGCTTCCTTTAGGTAACATCATTAGAAATCACTCTATAAATTTCCATTGTTATGCGGATGATACACAGTTGTATTTATCGATGAAGCCAGAAGAAAGTAATCAATTAACTAAACTCCATAACTGCCTTAAAGACATAAAAAATTGGATGAGCACCAATTTCCTGATGTTAAATTCAGACAAAACTGAAGTTATTGTTCTTGGCCCCAAACAACTCAGAGACTCTTTATCTGATGACATAGTTTCTCTAGATGGCATTGCTCTGGCCTCTAGCACTACCGTAAGAAACCTCGGAGTAATATTTGATCAAGATTTGTCTTTTAATTCTCATTTAAAGCAAACCTCACGGACTGCATTTTTTCATCTGCGTAATATTGCGAAAATTAGGCCTATCCTGACCCGAAAAGATGCAGAAAAATTGGTCCACGCTTTTGTTACCTCAAGGCTGGATTACTGTAACTCTCTATTATCAGGTAGCTCTAGTAAGTCCTTAAAAACTCTCCAGCTAATTCAGAATGCAGCAGCACGTGTACTAACAGGAACTAAGAAACGAGATCATATTTCTCCTGTTTTAGCTTCTCTGCACTGGCTCCCTGTAAAATCCAGAATTGAATTTAAAATCCTACTGTTAACTTATAAAGCTCTAAATGGTCAAGCTCCGTCATATCTTAGAGAGCTCATAGTGCCATATTATCCCACCAGAACACTGCGCTCTGAGAACGCAGGGTTACTCGTGGTCCCTAAAGTCTCCAAAAGTAGATCAGGAGCCAGAGCCTTCAGCTATCAGGCTCCTCTCCTGTGGAATCATCTTCCTGTTACGGTCCGGGAGGCAGACACCGTCTCCACATTTAAGACTAGACTTAAGACTTTCCTCTTTGATAAAGCTTATAGTTAGGGCTGGCTCAGGCTTGCCCTGTACCAGCCCCTAGTTAGGCTGACTTAGGCCTAGTCTGCCGGAGGACCCCCTATAATACACCGGGCTCCCTCTCTCTCCCTCTCTCTCTCTCTCTCTCTCTCTCTCTCTCTCTCTCTCACTCTCATCCTATTACTGCATCTTGCTAACTCGGCCATTCTGGATGTCACTAACTCGGCTTCTTCTCCGGAGCCTTTGTGCTCCACTGTCTCTCAGATTAACTCATATCGCAGCGGTGCCTGGACAGCGTGACGTGTGTGGTTGTGCTGCTGCCGTGGTCCTGCCAGATGCCTCCTGCTGCTGCTGCCATCATTAGTCATTAGTCATACTTCTACTGTTATTATACACATATGACTATTGTCACACATGTATACTGCCAGATATTAATACATACTTTCAACATATTGTACCACAGTAGCCAGAACTATAACTATAATATTATTACTTTCAATAATGTTGTTGTAAGCTACTGTCATTACCTGCATCTCTCTCTCTCTCTCTCTCTCTCTCTCTCTCTCTCTCTCTCTCTCTGTCTCATTGTGTCATATGGATTACTGTTAATTTATTATGCTGATCTGTTCTGTACGACATCTATTGCACGTCTGTCCGTCCTGGAAGAGGGATCCCTCCTCAGTTGCTCTTCCTGAGGTTTCTACCATTTTTTTTCCCCGGGGTTTTTTGGGGACTTTTGCCTTATCCACTGCGAGGGTCATAAGGACAGAGGGATGTCGTATGCTGTAAAGCCCTGTGAGGCAAATTGTGATTTGTGATATTGGGCTTTATAAATAAAATTGATTGATTGATTGATTTTTTTTTTTTTACCACCTAATATATTTATTTTATTCTGAAAATCAGTGTACATTGCTCCAAAGGGCCATTTCTCCAAAAATAAGCTACACACACTCTGAAGCAGAGGTACATTGCTACTCTTTATGCAGAATGATGTCATCTGAGCATCATTCTGCATAATAAGCAGCTGTGTGCTTCTGTTCCAGAGAGTGGAACACTGTAAATTTATCATGTTGATCTGTTCTGTACGACATCTATTGCACGTCTAGCACGTCCTGGAAGAGGGATCCCTCCTTGCTCTTCCTGAGGTTTCTACCATCAATTTGTGATATTGAGCTTCATAAATAAAAATGATTGAATTGATTGATTGACATACATCACATTTTTTTAAAACATTAAAAAAGAAAGTTATGTTGAGTATGAAAACTCTAAATCATGCATTTTGTACAATGTATTTTCTAATACTGCATGCATGTGTTGCGTTAAAAAGACTACAAAAGGCAAAATACACAGGTATGGTCTTAAAATAGAACCAACATAGCCACAAATAAATACTGGGAGAGCCACTTGTTATCCAGTAGCATGCAAGATGATGATGGTGACAGCCATGATGTGGATAATGAAGTGATAAACCATGTGGATTCTGTCTACCCAAAGGACTAAATCTTTGTCTGTCTGTATCTCAGCCTCACCAAACCAGCAGAAATCTTTCTTGTCAGCCATTTATTTTCTGTCATCCCGTGTCATTTGCCAATTATGCTTTCTTCCTCTGAATCCCTGGTTCTCTTTTTCTCTCTGGTCACCTCTTCCAAACAGCTCAAAGTGTGGCACTAATCACAGTAACTTTGTTGTCCGCCTCTTACTGCTGCTCATGCTGTGTCTCTCACTCTGTCTCTGTGTATGTGGCCAGCAATCATTAAGTGTCAATCATCTTCCAGTGGTTAGTCGCCCTAATTGGGAACAAAACTTGATTCAAAGTCTGCCAGTTGACCCATGGGACACAGCTTTTCATTCCCTGGCCTGTCGATTGTGTGTGTGTAAATGCTCTGGGAGTGACTCACTGCATTAGTGCTCACTGATGCTTGCTGCGTGCACTGACAAGGTGCATAAAGTGGTGATTTAATAATTGCTGCATGAAATTGAAAACAGTCTGATTGAGTAATGTATTGTGCAGTGTAAATGGCACTGGGGACGTGAAATCACTGCTGAGCTGAAACTGCAAACATGCACGTTGAATTTGATGAAAATAATGAATGACAAAATGGCAGCAGTTACCTGGATCAGACTTAGAGAAGGTGTCCATGTCTAACAGATTTCTGCAACAGAAGGAAAGAGGTTAGAGACTGAAAAAGCAATTTTTTTCTGTCTGTAAAGCTGAGATCTCAGATTACTATAGATACAGTCATAGTTGAAATTCAGTTTTAGTCCTTATAAAATGACTGTGATGCACCGTTTTTTATCCAAACTGGCCCATTAATTATCTTAAACATAACATGACAGCAGCATGGGAGTCTAATACCCCACTTCCACCAGAATTAGCATGTGTGCGCAGCTTTTTTAAACAAAGGTAAACCAGCTAAAATTAGGCTATAGACTTCTTTCCCATTGCCAATAGATAAGAGTTGTGTATGCAGCTTTATTTTTATTTATTTATTTATTTTTGGTGTGTCACGTCAACGTCACAAAAAGGCTAGAGAACAGGTAAAGGATAGACTATTATCATCATTACTAGACATCACTATCAGACAGCAGCATGAAGGAAAGAAACAGTGGTTACTTCTTTTTATCTCTTACTTATTCAGTCTCTCTTTCAAACTTAGTGCAGACTAATTCCCTTTTTTTCATTAGCACTCTTGGCCACACCAAGTTGCCGCGCCAATTTTTGTTTCCATTGCTAGTTTAGAGGTAGCGTGCCACGCTAAACCACGCTAGAGATGGACCCTGTGAGGAGTAAGTCCAAAAGCCAGGCCACCCGCCTTCAAGTGGGTAGTGGTAATGTCTCGCCAACCACAGCCAATCCCCAATGACCCCCCTCTCCCCCTCGAACAAGCCTTGTGTGCTGCGAGACCATACTCACTGCTGTCTGCAGAAAGAAAGGCATTTTTTAAATGTCTCCTGAATCTCTGTGGTTTCGAGTTGAGTTTCTCTCCTGCATCCTGTTTTTACTTTAGATATTTGCTTTATTTTACTGTTTTCCTGTTAGCTATCTGCCATATTAGAAGTTGTGTGAAGTTGCTGCATGAAAAACTCAACATTTCCCTATTTTGGTGTTTCACAATAAAAGTTTATGCATAACAAAATAATATGGGACTTTTATTGTGAAGAATCTATAGGAAAATAAATGTGTTATTACTGAATTAGCAGAACTTTCTTAGCAGATTCTATTCAGCAAAGGCAAGTCTGCTAATAAGGTAGGGAGGAAAGTGAAAGCAGAAACAGCCACAGTGAGATATTAGATGAAGAGCCGCAGACAACAAGCTCTTACTGCACCTCTGCAAACAGCTCACCACCAACAAGTAAACTTCTTTTACCTGCCCTGCTGTGGAAAAACACATGCAACAAAAATAACAAGGGACTTTAGCCATAGATCAGCACTCTGGTTTTAAACATTATCACTTAAGATAAGCCATCATCAGTTTAAGACACACCTTCAAGAAGGTTACCCTGTTGTAATGGAAGTGCAAATCCCTGCTGTGCTGGGCTGACAGCCAAAGCCAAGCCAAGCTAGGCCAAGCCAGCCCATGACTGTCAAAATGGGGTATGATTTGGATAGATGCTTGAACGCTGCTTGGACGAAGACGGATGGTGTTTTGTGACTGCGCATTATTGCATATCACCAGTTAAGGGATCTAAAATCTGTGCGTTCATCCAGGAGTTTTGTTCGCATCAATGCTGATCAGAGCTGAGGGCAATAAATACCCATGACTACTGCAGAGTCATGTGTCAGAGTCAGTGAATGCCAATTAAAACCATCCCCACTAAATTAAAAAGCCAAATGTTAGTGGGTGTCACTAAGAAGAAGAAGAATCAATACCAGTGTAACAAGGTGCTTTACAGATGAAACACAACAACAAAATACACAATTAATGTTTAACTAACCAGGCAGATGTAAAAAAAAAAAAAGAAAAAAAAAGAATAAAGTTAAGAACAATGGACTGTTAAATACAACATTAGGTGAAATGTAAAAACAATTGGTGATTTAAACTTAAAATGAGGCAGTTTAAGACTTACATGTCTAGAACTAGTATGTCTTGTTTGCTTAATGCAAACAAACCATAATGATTAGTATGCAGTAGGCTACATATATATACAATTAGTATGTAGTTTGAAAATTGTCCTTGGCTCCGGCACTTCATGCTAATATGTTAGCATAATGCACTATAATACTAATAATAATGCTGCATTCATGTCATGTCATCAGCAACCTTCTGCATGCATGATTGGCATGCAGTAACTAAAGTAATGACATAACAGTTACCACCCTCCATTAACCAGAAGAAGTACAAAAGAGAGAGAAGAAGACAAGACCTGCCAATGCATACAGTAATGTTATAACATTATAACATTCAACACATTTTGGTATGACTGTGTTGACCACAGATAACAGTGCTGGTCTACCCCGTGACTGAATTCACTACATAACATTAGCCACAGTAGATGTGTGACTTGTGTGACTGACTTTCCAACTATTCAATTAGAATGATAGATAGATTTTCATCAGCAATGAATGATCCCATGCTACTTCACGCTATCATCAAAATCCATCTTGGTTGTTCTTTTGATTGAGAAACAGCAAAAATTAAATACTCTGGGTATAAAACCTGTACAGAAACTATTGACCACAGTCGAGATTTTTGTTTGGTCTATTTATTCTGTTTCCATTGTCAGCTGCTAAACACTAACAAAATGTTTTAAAATTTGCACAAAGAGTTTGACATGCTCCTGAACAGAATTAAGATTTCTTTCACTGTTTATTGTTTGATTAACTGATGTTATTTCATTATAATTGTACACGGTGGTGCAGTGGTTAGCATTGTCATCTCACAGCAAGAGGGTTCCTAGTTCGAACCCAGGGTGGGGGGTTCAAACCCAGGATAGGGGAGCCCTTCTGTGCAGAGTTTGCATGCAGGTTAATTGGTGACTCTAAATTGCCCGTAGGTATGAATGTGAGTGTGAATGGTTGTCTGTCTCTATGAGCCAGCCCTGTGATAGTCTGGTGACCTGTCCAGGGTGTACCCTGCCTCTCGCCCAATGTCAGCTGGGACAGACTCCAGCCCTCGTGACCCCTAACAGGATAAGCAGTTAGAGAAAATGAATGAATCAGTGAATATTTTGAATCTAAGTGCTAAGATGAGTGAACTGTTCTGCTATTGCATGTTTCCACATGTTAATGTGTCTGGCCATCTCTTTGTCAACAAAACCAACAGAAAATAAAATAAAAGACAAGACATTTACAAAACAAAACATTAACATTTTAACATGGACAGCAATTTAAAATGCAGCATTTGAGCTCAGAGTCAAAGGAGCACTGGGCTAAAGGGAAAGGTCTTTTGTATGTCACATCCTTCACTGTTCTCCCAAAATGGATGTGAAATCCTCAAACATCCACCAAAGTCTCTCTTTTTGTTTCCATCCATCTACTCCAGCGCAGGAAAGAAACACTCTCTGAGGAAACACAAAAAGGTCATTCTGCATTGAAAAGACTAACTCAGAAAGATTGCCATTTCATTAGTCTGAAGGTCCACTTACATGCCTCATTTAACACTAGTGTTGGAAATTAACTTTTTTTCCCATCATTCTGTAATCACACTCTATACACATTTTTCCCTCCAAAAAGTATTAACCCTATGGGCCCTAGGCGTTTCTGGGGTATTTTTACTGCCTTTACGTTTAAGCTCATATCACAGTCATTATAAAGGCTACATACACATGCTATATCTTGTTTTTTTTCAGGACAATCTGGGCTAACCAGATTTGCCATCATTTCATGTCCTACTATGTGCCTGTATTTTATATCAATGAAAAAAACAAATCCGCGTGACTAAATTCTTACATTTTTTCACCATAGCAAGTTGGAAGAAGACATATTCTGCCATATATGAAGAGGGGAGACTCTCTGGAATCTGGCAATATAAGAATCATGATGCTGGGACATTCTGTCACTTCACAGTTGTCCAAAACATGTGGTTTGTGCCAGGCGGACATGATTGCCAGTATTTTTTCATTATTGCAAGAAATTCCATTGACTCATTCACAAGTCAAAAATGTGTTTTATCTGAAAGAAACATGCAATATTTACATCTAAGATCATAGAAAAATAGTCAACCAAGTGCAATGATGTCCTCCAAGATAATATTTGCCACTTTGTTTGCAGTAAACAAAGTTTGTTGTTGTTTTTCGGTTTCAGTTATATATTGGGGGGCATTTTGGGCATTGGGGGGGACACATGTCCCCCTCAATGTGTATGGTGACTACGGCCCTGTCATGCATGCATAATTAGGCTACAGTTGTCTGGGTGCGCAAAGGAGAAGTGGCTGGTCTTGTCATACAAAGTTTGATGGAGTGTCAACTGGACACTATATAAATATAGAGATATTTGCATCTTGAAAGCCGGACTACAAATGTGGATAGACAGGGAGAAACACACGCAAGCCTAAGACGTGGTAAGATACGATATTCCTCACTGTATGAAGTGACTGATAACAAGATCTGTATAATGGATTGTAAAGAAATTCGTCAGGTTTTTATTTTGTTTGTTTGATCTGGATTTATAGCATGATGGGATGACAGCACAATGATGTGTGTGATATCATTGGAAAGCTCTGCTCCTGCGCTTTCATGCTTTTCATGCATTTCTGTGTGATGCTGCATTCGCGAGTAATCCATCCAAGAGTAATGTGTGTGCAGAGCTGTATGAAAGCTCTGTTATACATAATTTTAGTGTAAATTTATCTTCTCGCTATGACGCACCATCGTCCACAGAGAAGAACAGGTGTGAATTTGGACGCACTATGCGTCGTTCAGGCCCATAGGGTTAAAACCTTTCCCTCATACTACACATACACACACACACACACACACTTTTCAAATGCACAAATACAACAAACAGACACCCAAACAGCGGTGCACTCATGCGCGCGGATGGCACTGGGGATGGGGGGACATGTCCCCCCCAGATTTATAGTGACCCCGATCCATCCCCCCCACTGTCCCCCACACACATAGGTAAAAAAGAGGATCACTGATCAATGAGTTGGAATCATTTGCCGACAGCTTGGTCCCCCCCAGTTCAAAAATTCCATCTGCGCCCCTAGGT